TATACAATCTCTTTAATTTACAAAGTAATGTATAAATTTTATAAATTTATTAATTATTTAAATTTCAAGCAATTGAGCTTTTCAATACAATACCTTTCACGACGATAGTACTATCGATGTTTTCAACTATCGTTTCGAAAACTATCGAGTGGCGGTACTATCGACGAGCATGCTCGCTGAAAATCAAAATTTTTTGATTTTTGGCGAGCATGCGCGCAAACCGCCCTACAAACGACGAGCATGTGCGCATGTGCGCGGATATGCTCGTCGTGTGTAGCTACTGTAATGGATGCATCGAAAATATCGAAGTCTTGCACGATTATACATGAAATATCTACTCCAACGAACCACCAACAAAAATACAAGATCACCTAATCAAATATGCAAGAAAAAAAAGTATATTTCTCAGGGATTTCGACATCTGCCTAAGAATGAAAACAAACAAAGAACACGAAAAAGGCGCGGTTATTGAGTGCGAATAAGTTGGTATTTATTATAAAATATACAAAGTCAAACTTGATAACAATTAGCAAAAAAAGTTCATAAAATATGGTTTTCATGATTGGAAGTGTTTTACGATCGCATATCATTACCACGGGTCGATTTTTCAATGCCAACGTTCTGGCCACGAACGTGCACCCACTTTTCACGCAAATTTACGCCTTTTGGCAAACCAAACATACGCACAAACTTGTTCCAATCACACAGCACTTCATTTTATATCATAAATTTGTAATGGAGTGCAATGGGGTATAGTCGTTGCGCTGGGTATGCAGTTACAGTTGCATGGCTATACTCAATCCCGACTCTTGCGTCCTCGTTCGCGCACTCTGGGCAACGTGAGCAACCCATGTGCGAGATGCGGTAACCAATCCGAGTGGAGCCTTGGGTCACGGCAGAAAGAGAGGGAGCTTCGGTGGGGCCACTCTGACTTATTCGGTTTAAGGGCTCACTGAAGTCTGCAGCGTCTGTTCACCAGTAGGTGCGGCTGCAAGCGGGTGTCTGCTTGGAGCAAGCGGCTCGCTATATAAACGTGTATTTGGTTGCGAAACCACCCCCGTCCCAGCAATGGGTTGTGCGCTGGGCTTGGGACCCGCCACGTAAAAACCACTTCCAGTGAAGAAGCAAGGCAAAGCCTCGGATGAGACCCCCCCTTATGATGACGACCACGGCAAACGTTTAAAGGACTACGATTTGAGGGCATGCACCTGGAATGTCCGGACCCTTAATGGGGAAGGTGCCTCTGCCCGGCTGGTTGATGTCCTCGTAAGGACAAAAGCTGACATCACCGCCATCCAAGAAATGCGTTGGACGGGGCAAGGCAAACAATGTCTGGGGCCTTGCGACGTCTACTACAGCTGCCATGTAAAGGAGCGCAAATTCGGAGTTGGATTTGTGGTGGGAGAGAGACTCCGTCGCCGAGTACTGTCGTTCACCCCGGTGGACGAGCGTCTAGCCACAATCCGCATCAAAGCGAGATTCTTCAACATCTCGCTCATCTGCGCCCATGCCCCGACGGAAGAGAAGGATGAGGCATCCAAGGATCTCTTCTATGAGCGCTTGGAGCGCACGTACGAGCGCTGCCCCCGTCATGATATCAAAATCGTGCTTGGCGACTTCAATGCCAGGGTGGGCAAAGAAGGGATCTTTGGAACCACCGTCGGAAAATTCAGCCTCCACGACGAAACGTCCGACAACGGATTGAGGCTGATCGACTTCGCCGGGGCCCGAAACATGGTAGTATGCAGTACTAGGTTCAAGCATAAAAAGATCCATCAAGCTACCTGGCTGTCTCCGGATCGAAAAACGAGAAACCAAATCGATCATGTTGTGATAGACGGAAGGCACGCTTCCAGTGTTTTAGACGTACGCACACTCCGAGGCCCAAACATCGACTCGGACCACTATCTTGTTGCAGCCAAGATACGCACCCGCCTCTGTGCAGCAAAAAATGTGCGCCCAAATATGCAAGGAAACCTTAACGTCGAAAAGCTGCAATCACAACAGACAGCCAGCGCTTTCGCTACTCGACTCTCACACCTGCTCTCAGAGAGCACTCTTCAACAAACCGACATATGCGAGCAGTGGAACCACATTTCCCGCTCATTAAGTACCGCCGCCGAAGAAGTAGTCGGATTTCAGCGAGCCCGAAAGAACAACTGGTACGATGAGGAGTGTCAGGAAGCTGCAGAGAAAAAAGATGCCGCCTACAGGGCCACGCTGCGATCGGGCGCAACGCGCGCTATGTGGGACCGCTATAGGGATCTGAAGAGGGAAGCGAGACGTATTTGCCGCAACAAGAAGAGAGAGGCAGAAATACGTGAGTGCGAAGAGCTTGAAATGCTGGCCGACAGGAGGAATGCCCGAAAATTTTACCAGAGAGTTAGGCGACTTACGGAAGGTTTAAAGACCGGGGCGCACTCCTGTAAGAACAATAATGGCGACCTAGTAACTGATGTCCAGAGCGTACTTAAATTATGGAGGGAACACTTTTCCGCCCTACTAAATGGTAGCAGCACGGAAAGTTGTGGAGAAGAAGAACCCGAGCCCGCAGTCGATGATGACGGAGTCGACGTTCCACCGCCTGACTATGACGAGGTACGTATAGCAATAACGCGGCTGAAAAACAACAAAGCCGCTGGAGCTGACAGCCTGCCAGCTGAGCTATTCAAGTACGGCGGCGAGGAGTTGATAAGGTGCATGCATCAACTCTTGTGCAGAATATGGTCAGATGAACGCATGCCCGACGACTGGAATTTAAGTGTGCTCTGCCCAATCCACAAGAAAGGTGACCCCGCCATTCGCGCCAACTACC